CAAAAATTTGTTGTGTCTAAGGCCTGAAAACAAACACAAACAAGCAACCAAACAAGAACACACAAAGATTTATGTGGTTCAACAGATCATCTACGTCCACAAGCAGCGGAATTTTTACTAAACTGAATAAAGAAATTACAAGGCTATTTCTTTCTCTCAACCTCACCTTATTCACTCTCTTTCTACCACTCTTGGTAAAGACTTGATACTCTTCACTTGCTTGCTCTTACTCTTCACTCACCTGATTCTTTGTTCCCTCCTTGAACCCTATTTATACACAATGTTTTGGGGATAATTTGGTAACTTGGCCATGGCAACTTGCTTGCACGTTGCTTCTGCAGATGCACAGTGCATAGAATCTAGCAAGCTTCTAAATGCAACATGCCTAGTTGCCTTTCTAGAATTTGAGCTAACTCACTGAGTTAACACAATTGAGTTAACTCTATGCAACAAAATTATTGTCCAAAGGCCATAAAAACCTATAAATAAGGCTTAAAAAAAAAATTTATCCAAAGGCCATAAAATAATCAAAGACTCATTTAAAGAAAACCTAACAAAATGTTGGATATCCAATTTCACCATAATGCTAGGTAACTGTTTGTTTGATGATATACATATTTTTTATAATGTAATTATTATCCTATCTATTGAAAAAAAAAATCACCATAGTCAATCAACCAATTAAGTGTGAAAAGATCTTAGTATGACTGAAATTTAATTATACAAAAATTAAGAGTATAATAGTATCACGTTGAGAGTACATTCAAAAAAAATTCAATCATACAAAAACTGACTCCAAAAAAAATATATATGTCAGTCAATGTTGTTTATAGTGATGTAATTTTCACTTGAAACACGCAAGGAATTTAAATCATAGATTTAGACAGTAATTTAAAAAGAAAAAAATGAATGAAATATAATTACATTTTACCTACATTTAAATAATTATTGTTTATAAAATAACATATTATTTTATGTTTGAACATGTCATGAGAATATTGTAAATAATGATAAAAATTATAAAAATTATGATTCTAAATCAAATCACCTCACATTTTTATGGATTAGTTTAATTTGATTTCAAAATTTTCATTCAATTTGATTTAAACGTTTATGAAACTGTAACAATGATTTGGTTTTAGTTTATTTATAATAAAAATTCTATGTTGTGCACCCCTAACATCAATTATAAAATTTGTAACCTCGTCATAAATTGGCGTAACAAAATATCAAAAATTTTATAGTTGATTTTGCAAAAGTTTGTGACTTACGTCAATTTGTGATAAAATTACACATTTTATGATTAATGTTATGAAATTTTATAATAAAGTTGTACATTTTGTAGTAAAGTGCGTATGATATGCACCCCTAAAAGAATTCACGCCATAGCATTTTTCTATTTATAAAACCAATCCGTATGACTTATTTAGTGATTTATTAAATTTTTTTGAAAATATGTGTAAAAAAATAAAGAAATAATATTACAATTTATAATAAATAAGTTAATATGCAATTTATTTAGCTGGTAAGTTTGCCAGTGGTTGTCTTTTGGACCTATAAGCTTCTTGCTTTCATTTGTCCTTCAGGGTTTTCCACTGAGCTCCATTGTATTTCTTTTCTTCTTCTTCTTCTTTTTTTCCCTTTTTTTTTTTTTTTTTTTTTTTGTGGTAATAATATATTCACACCAAACATGAAGAATAAGAAGAAGAAGAAAAAAAGTAATCTTAATTGATTTTTCCTTGTTATGCATTATTGAAAGTTTCATGTAGACTGATAAACACCCACCGCCGGTGTAAAATGATAAACATTGACTCGTGTGTAATAAATATCAACTTGTGTGTGGGAGCAATGGGAGTGGTAGAAGAGGAAGTAGAAGTAGAAGTAAAACTGAGCATGATTCGATTTGCTTCTATTTAAAAAATAAAAATAAAAAAAATTAAAACCCAAACTGTTCCTTAAGATTAGATTTGTAACTGAGTCAAATCACAAAAATGAAAAAACTAAACTCGACCGAACCATTTGAGACTCAATTATGTTAAGTCTGAAACAATATTTTTTTGTAATTTGTTATTATTCACAATTTACTCACAAAATACTATACCATATATCAAATATCAAGTACAGTGGATGTTTTTCATACATTAAGAGCATGTCTAAAGCTAAGAGGCAAAATGCCTTTTGTAAAAGTACACATAAAAGTATCATCTTCATTTTACCTAATTAGTTTAGTTAGTATACATTTCAATCATATTTTTTATTTTAGCTAATCAATCAAATTAACTTAACTATTTTTAAATATTCTGCATATACTCATTCTGCACACTATGCTTGCATTTGATACGCATACTATAACTGATACGTGACAACTATTTTTTCAGATTCCACCCATACCGATGGCACCAGCGATTTTTAAAATATATGTATATATATAAAATAAATTACTTAAAAAAAATATTTCCAAACAATCATATTTTCAAATTGTAATATTTTCTTCCCTAGGTAATGTTTTGGCACATTACAATAGTGCAAAGCCATTTTGACAAAATCTCAACCAAGAGCAAAACATCCCTTAGGACGACCACTCTAAACTATTGAGGTCATTCTCCAGACGACCACCTTATGTAATATATGCAACAAGTATGTGCATACATTATTTTCGTTGTCTGATTATGTTTGACAAAAAACCCACTAATCAATTATGAGTTTCAATCTTAGTAACCAAGTTTTGTTTGTGGTAAGATCTTTTAAAGCATTGGTGGTAATATACTTTTGGCTTGATTTTGTTTGACAAAAAAAGAAAATTTGGTTCTTATTTTCAAAATTCACTTTTCTAAAAATTAAAATTTTTGTTGTTTGTATTTTTTTTCATTTAATTTTTTTAATATTTTAAGAAATTTTTTTTTAAAAAAAAATTAAACACACCTAACATAAATATACTTAAAATATATAATATTTGCGAAAAAAATCTTTAAAAAATTCACTAAATACCAAAAATATAAAAAAAAGTATGAAAATTTAGTACATTTTTCGTATTCTTGTGTATTTATTAATTTTTTAAAATATTTTTTTTAATAAATATTTTACTTTTTAAATATATCTAAATAAGGTGTATCTAAAAAAGTAAAAAAATTACCAAAAAATTTAAAAATATTCGCTAAAAATATAAAAATATAAAAAACAAAAAACTTAATTTTTAAAAAATTAAAATCAAACACATTGGGGTGTTTGGGAACTTGGTTTTTAGATTTTTTTTTATTTTTTTTCACTACAAGACAAATGTTTTACAAAATCAAAAAAAATAAATCCAAACACAATATTACATCAAACCCCATAATCATTTCATTTTTTCTCACACAAACATCACATCTAACTACAAAAAAACCTAACTATCTTTCCAAACACAAAAAAAATTTCTCTAATAATATCCTACAACTAAAAAAACTTATAAAAAAAACTCACTTCCCAAACACCCACCGACTGATTTTTTAAACAAAAAAGCAACATGCCATCATTTCCCCAAAAGGAAAACCAGCAAACAAATAGGGTTCTGATCTTGTAGTTCAAGTGTATGGTAATAAGTTATCGGAATTATTATAGGTTGAGTTAAATTTTATTTTTCTTTTTATATTTTTAATTTAAACAATTTATTATTTATATTTTAAGTTCAATTTTAATTAAGTCATTTTATTTAAATTTTCATTTATTTTTTTATGGGAGTATATTATCAAGTATTCCAAAATTTTAACTAGAGTTGGGCATAGGGTTATCCGACCCTCACAATCTGTCCTACCCGAATCGAACCGCACATGTATGGCGGTTTCGCAAATTGAATAGGGTAGGGTGCTGTTTGAAATATATAAGATTTTCGAGTTGCGGACACATTGCGATTTTGAACGACACCTGTCACAACCCGCCCGTACTTAGCCAAATATATATTTTTTTTTTTGAAAAAAAACCATGACCGTTCGTTCATTATCTAGATCTATCTATTCTATCCTATCTATTTCACATTGTTCATATTACTCCCCCATTGTCTCAATGTAAGCTTGTTCCTTTCTCTTAATGTGTTCACCAATTGATAATTTGATGTTTCCACTATTGTGATAGTACATCTAGTTTGATCGCATAGAAAATTGAAAGAAAGGGAATAAATAAGGTTCAAAAATGAGATTTTGTTGTTTTTAATTTTATAAGTTTTAATTCATTAATTATTAATGTTGGAATATTTTAGAAAATTAAAAGAAAATGACTCGAAATAAATATTTACAAAGTGGGAAAAAAAATTCAAAAGTTAATTTTTAAAGAAAAAAATTTAAACTGCAAACCACTCGCAACCGCTCGCACATTCGTAAACTCTATCTGCACAAACCACAAATCGCATTTCGGGCGGTTACGGTTTGACTTTTTCCCAAACCGCATAGGTGCGGACAAGTCAAAATCAAACCGCAAATCGTACAAAACCGATCCGCAAACACTCCCAATTTTAACCTCTAACTTAATCAGAAAGAACAAATTAAAAATGTAAAAATCAAACCATTCAATTTAAAATAATCGAATCAAAACAAAACTTTATTAAAATTGTAATTATTCTGTATGGAGTCAGGTTTTTTATTTTTTAACTGGTTACTTTTTTGTGACGAACGGACAGGATTGACCAAACAATCTAACTGTTGAGATTATGGTTCACAGCCAATCCCCCCAAATCACAGGTACTGTTCCAATCCATCGTACAAAGAGATTGTTTGAGATGTTCTAAATAAGTGTACTTTTTATCTTTTGAGATTAAAAAATTGAGAAAAAAATATGGATGTTTGAGTTAATTTTTTGACTTTTTATGAAAAAATGTGTATTAAAAAATTATATAAATTAGAGTGTATAGGGAAAAATTAGAATTGAGAGTTGTGCAATCGTAATTTTTGACTTTTGATAAATAATGATAACTTTTTAACTTTTTAAATAATTTTTTGACTTTTTGACTTTTTATAAACTTGCGACTGCCTTGACAAAATAGCGGTAGCGGTGGCGGTGGCGGTGTTGGTGTTCCAAACCCACTGCGCAAGTTAGCATCAGCCCTATACTCATCGGCGGAGCTCTCACTCTCTCTCTAGCACCTGTGCCACCATTCGGACCCTAAGCAATCTTCGATGCCAAACAGGTAACTATACTCTCTCTCTCTCTCTCTCTCTCTCTCTCTCTCTCTATATATATATATATAAGTGTTTATATGTATGTGGGTTTGTATCTAAGGATTGTAATAAACAGTAAATTTGTTGAATTTGGGGATTTGGGGTTTTTGTTTCTGCAGAAGAAATTTGAAATTGGCATGTGGGATGTGAGGAAAAGGGTTTTACAATTGCAAATTGTACAAAACGGAATTCAACAATACAATGGTCGCCTTTGATACAGTGTTTGTAGGTGAGAATTTTTTCCCCACCATTTTCTTGTTCTTTTTATTTGTTTATATATTTCCATGAAACCATGTTAAGTCCACAATGATTTTTGATGATATCAAATGATTGCTTTACTTCGACTATGTGCATCCCTGTCTTGGGAAAAAAAAGGAGCTTAATGCTGTGTTTGGTTGGGGGATTTGGAGAAAGATTTGGAAAGAGAAAGGGAAAAGGTGTGTGAAACTATGTGAAATATAGGCATGATTTATTCACATTTCACCTATCTTTTTCATTTTCCTTTCCAAATCCCTTCTCAAATCCTCCAACCAAACACAGCATAAATGGTTTATTTGATGGCCCACAAGCGTATGGTTAACTTGATTATTGTATAGAGATTTTAATCTAGTCTTGAAAGGTCCCTAGAAGTTTATAAGGCAATTCAGTGAAGAAAACTGCAAAGTGAGAGATTTATAACAAAAATATAGTATTGCTAATTAGATTTATTATTGCTACAACTAGAACTAGAAATATGCGTCCTACTACAATTACCATCTCAACCTAGTAATACAAACTACAACATTCATTTCAATCTCATAATCAACATTGTAGTTGTATTACAAAACACAAATGTTCTGTTCAAGCATTTCTATCTACAACTTATGACAACATTTACAATGATATATTTATTCAATAGACAATATTCATTATACAGGCATAAATGTCATCGAACCTCTACTTCTGAAATTGTGACATCATTTATAGAGCAAAGTTCTAGGGTTTTAGGCGTACTTACATTTGTCACACCCATGATTTTAGAGAAAGCGGGTTGCTTAGGAGTAGGTAAAACCATTGTTTCAGTGGTAAGCATAGACACAATATCTAACATGTTTGGTCTATCAGATGCAATTTCTTGAACGCACAAGAAACCAACTTGAATGTATCGCATAGCCTCACTTGTGGAACATGTTTCAACTAATGCTTGATCCACTAACTCCAAACCTTTCCCTTCTTTCCAAAGGTCCCATGCCTAAACAGGTTCGTAAAAATATCATAAAAAGTCAGTCCCGAAAAACGAACAGAGAGATTTTACAAAATTGGATGATATTTCAATTACTTACGTATCCTAGTAAGTTCAATGCACGATCAGGCCGACAGAAACTTGTGTTCTTCTTCCCACTTATTATCTCTAGCATCATGACTCCAAAACTGAAAACATCGGACTTTACAGAAAAGAGACCATCCATAGCATACTCAGGAGACATGTAACCACTGTTTCCATCATTCAATAGATTATATTATTATGGAAATCCAATGCATTTGATATGTATATAAAGAAATTTTATTTGTACATGTTTGAAACATCTTTCTCACTTACTGTGTTCCAACAATTCTTTTTGTGCTTGCTTGATTTTCATCATCACAAAAAATTCTGGCAGTGCCGAAGTCAGATATTTTCGGATTCATGTCCTTGTCCAATAAAATGTTGCTGGTTTTCAAATCTCTGTGAATGATCTTTAATCTGGAGTACTTGTGAAGGTACAATAGTCCTTGAGCAATTCCTCCAATGATACGAACACGCATTTTCCAATCTAGTAAATATTGTTTCGTCACATCTGCCATAAAATTTGCATGTAGTAAATAAATACACATAAGAAACTTGGAGACCAGGAAGAAATCACAAGGGCAATTGATCAATAGAAGGTAGCAAAGTAACAAACCGAATAGAAAGAAATCCAAGCTATTGTTGGGTAAGTACTCATATATTAATATCCTCTCATTTCTTTGCATGCAACAACCCAAAAGTCTAACAAGATTGCAGTGTTGTAGCCTTGAGATCAATATAACCTCATTCTTGAACTCCTCTAATCCTTGTCTTGAGCTGCTAGAAAGTCTTTTTACTGCTATTTCTTGTCCATTAACCAACTGACCCTGAAAGTTTAAATTTCTTAAATCATCTCACAAAATTCATAAAAGTAATTATAAAAATAAAAATAATTATAAAAAGAGAGAATGTGATGCATTAAAAGAAGAAAAAAAAATGCTTGGAGCTCTAATTGAGCACCCCAATCCACCCCCAATGACGTGGAATAGACCACACCCACACTCCTTATCCCTCCTCTCTCTATTCTCTCTATATTCTCTCTCTTCCAACTCATGAGAAGTCAAAATAGGGGTGATGTATTGAGAGATGTAGCACCACTCTTAAAAAAAAATAGTAACGCTATAAAGATTTATATATTTATTAAAAGAAAATGTAGGATGATTCTTGAATGGAAAAACAAAATAGCATAGTAATCCTGAATCGTTAGACCACTAGAATTTTCTATAACTAATCCATAATTTGCAGATGGCAAATTAGAAAGAGCATGATACAAAAAAGTAATTTTTGATACGAGTCAAAAAATAGATTTTGGTTTAATTGCACTTAGCATCATTACACTTCTACTGAAGTATCACTTTAATCCCTCCACTTTCAATTGTAACAGTTAACTGCTTACATTAAAGTCAAATTGCAATGTCACCCTTATCTCCCGTTAACTAGGTTGACGTAAATTAAAAATAAAAGAACCAAAGTGTAATTTTAGTAAAATTACATGGACTAAAGTGAGAATTAGATGAAAGTGTAGTGGTGCTAAGAGAAAAGATTTGATTAAAAATTTCATCTGATATCATGGATTCCAACGCTAATTTTTCAAGTTTTATCAAACAACTAGTTGACCGGGAGGACAACTGGGAGGACAACCGGCAATGGGCAACTTTGCAGCAGAAGGTTGTCTGGTGTACAATGAAGTCTTAACAGCTATCTGCAAAAATTTGAAGAACGTTGAAGCCTTCGTCAATTTGATGAAAGTTATGGGTTTCCCCTCATTTGATACGGGTTCAATGTCATGGTTAGAGTAGAAAAGGTATACTTATTTCATCAAATATAAATTTGATGAAAAAAAAAAAGAGTAAGCGTTGGAGACGCTCTAATGAGGCAAGAAAAAGGTAGTATATGACTTGCATGACAAATTATGCCAAATTTATTAATGTCAGATGAACAGAAAGATAATATCACAACTTAATGAAAGGAGGTTGACTATCAAAATTAAATATAAAGGGGCCAAAATATAAATTTTAGTTGAAGTTTAGGATGCTAAATAAATATAACTAACCCTTATATTTTTACCTTATAAACAGGTCCATAACCACCCTGACCAATCTTATTTTTCTCAGAGAAGTACTCTGTAGCAATTTCTATGGTAGAAAAACTGACAAATGGTAACTCACGATCCTTTTTCTCCCTTAACATGAGATTTCCTGCATTGCTTAATTCATCAATGGTTGTGACACTGTTATTCAATTCATCCATTAACAACTGCATCCCCTGCACAATCCCAACTTTGTTGCTTCCTCCTGATTAGTTTGAAAACAAAATTTCTCTTTTTAGATTGGCTTAGAATTTAAACAAGTCGTTGATATGATATAGCCAAAAAAAGATACAATACCTTTGAATGATTGATTTTTCCATCGTAGATAGCACAATAATGAGATCGAAGTCAGAATCAGTAGGGAAGCTATTGGTCCACCAATAATCAACCATAGATGCCTCTTCCTATTGTTGAGAGTTGTATTATTTGAACTCTCTATTGGGACAGAGTTAAAAAACAAATAAATAAATAAATAAATTATTAGTTTGTAGCTATAAGAATATATATAATTGTTTGACAGAAACAATCACACAGATGTAAAATAAAGAGTGAGACCACCCGCATGTGAGCATCAGAGATGACATTCATCTGCATTATCCAGCCAAAATTAATAAAAGCCATAACTAGATGTAAATGTTATTGATGATAATGGTTATAATAATGATTCTAGGGTAAATCGGCAATCTCCATCTTCAATACTCCTTATTAAAGAGCATAAATTAATTAGAGAAAAATATTAAAATACCCTTCAAAGTTTGATTGAAAAAAAAAAAAACCCCTCCCAAGATTTCATAGTCAAACTTAAGGACATAAAAATGATCTACCATTAGCATTTTCCAATGCCAAATTTCAAAAAATACCTTATTATTAGCAAACCCCACACGTATTATAAAACATGTGGGTTTTTTTTTGTTTTTTTCCAACCAAATTTCAAGGGTTGTGTTTGTATTTTGCTCAATTAACTGAGGAACCATATATTTTTAGTATTAGAAAAAGACTAACCACTTTTTGCAAGACTGTTGTTGTTACGAATGTACAAGACTTCTTGAATATCCCATGTATATACGGAAACTTGATAAAATGCGCACCCTGACGTCCCCCCATTTAATGGAGTTACAGAAGCATAGCCTTGACAAGAACAATTTGTCCTACATTTCTCCTTGCAGTCACTAAGATCGAGGCTCAAATTAAATGAACTAAACAAGTACCAATCCAGCTCCATTGATTTTCTCGTCTCCTTGAACCCATCTCCACCTATACAGTTGGATGGGCTATAGTTTACACAACCCCCAGATTTCAAATATCCTTGGTCAGGATCACAATTTACCATTATGTTGCAATAAAAAGTATAATCACAGATATAAAGCGCTCCAGAAGAATCTAACCAAATCAAATAATGCGGATCAGTGTCGTTCCAAGTGAAATAACTCTCATTCTCATTTGAGAAGTAACTGAATTTGAATGAATTGTAAAAATCGATATTAAATAAAGCAAAATCATCCTTATTGAGTAAACTAAAATTGTACCCATTCCACATCCCACTTCTCCAATAAACAACTCTTCTCGATCTTTTCCAAGTTATAAGTTGTTTTGTGTTGTTTGGATCAACACCTAGAGTGAAACCCCCCAGATCCGGATCCTCTAGTGTTGACCATGAAGCGAGAAACCGATGTTGTGGCTTTCCCCCACTCTTCAAGTTAAACGTACCCAATTTCATGCCTTTTAGCCATACATCGGATGGATAATCAAAACTTTGCCACATAATATGTTCTCCGGATCTCAAAACAAAATTCCCAGAGTCAAGAAGTGTTGCGCTTGTGCTAATACTAGAAGATTGATGGCGATCCCTCTGCTGTTCAGAGTTGAGAGTGATGGCGATCCCTCTGCTGTCATTGATCATCAGCTTCCCCTCTTGAGTTATCTTTAGTACTCCAGAGCTATCCGTTACTGGATTGTCTCTGTTGGCAAGCCATACCACCGTCTTGTTTCTATTCGGTGTTGTGGTGACTTGAATTCCCAAGTAGCGGTTGGTGGATCCACTAGGGCTGCTGAAGAAGCCTAGTTGAAAATACCCATTTGGAGAGGATATATTTTCCCATTCTCTCATTTCTTGGCCAACTACAAGCGTGTCTGTTGAATTGGAAACACCGACATGAAAGAACCAACAAGAGAACACCAACAACCCCAAACAAGGTAAAAAAACAACCACTAAACATTGTTTCATCATTCTTGCATCTAATTCTACGGAAATTAATGATTCACTTGAAAATAGCATTCCGCAATATATATATATATATATATATATATGTATGCATAGAATTTTTTTATTTTTTTATTTTTAGGAGTGGGTACATAGAAAGTTCTTGATTTCATATTGATATGATAATTTGATAAAGTGAAAATAAATAAATAAATAAAAATTTGTTGGTAATGCTAAAGTCCTTTTGTCACATTCATAGGCCCCAGAGGGGTCGTCCTCGTCCTCATCTTAAGCAGTTGGTCATCGTTTGGACAAAAAAATGACCGGAGAGGATTCATGTCACGCCCCACTTTTTATTACTCGAAGTCATTACTAAATTCATTAGCTTAATTCAATTACAAGGATAACATGCGGAAATAAACTCATATATTCAATCCGTAGAAGTGATTAACGATACTCTCATTCGTATGCAAAGTAAATATTACATGAACATACTTAATAAATTACCCTTGGGCTTACATCACTTAAGGTACAAGAAGAATGGTGTAACCCTTTTACAACAATGGCATTCCGCCAACATAACTGAGGCCCCGTGGCCAGTAAACAAGTAGATCCCAAACTTGCAGCTCAACTTGCTTAATACCTGAAAAAGATTCAACAACGTGGGATGAACATATAGTCCAGTAGGAAACTCAACATGATCCTTAACAATAACAACTTACAGATAGCTATGATCATGAACACTCATTCTCATACTAGAATAGTAATGTGACAGTTTATACAAAATATATATGTGTGAACTTTTCTCGAAAACAACCGTTTCATTCAACGCTACAAGTGGTTTGTCTTTCCTTTTTCCTTTCATTAACCTCCATTCCCAATCTTTCATAACATTAACAAATACTTAGGAAGTAATCTCACTAAGCCCGACACCCTCTTCCATTTCCTATACATACTCAGATGTACCTTTTCAAACATGTTTATCTATAAAACATTCGTTCTCCTCCACACTTTCCAAAAGACAAAAATGACATTTTGGTTCATGTAATTGATCATTCCGAGATCACAGTTAATGAAGATTTGGGCTACGAGGAGAAGCCAATGGGGATTGTTGACCGACAAGTGAGGCAATTGAGGAACAGATCGATACCGATGGTAAAGGTCGAATGGAAGGAACATTATGGCACAGAAGCCACGTGGGAAAAGGAAGGGGATGTGAGAATCCGTTATCCAGAGCTGTTCATACATTTTTATTCAATTTCCTTTTCTATTTAATATCCTTTTATTATTTCATTTCCAAATAGATCGTTAAGCTATAGTGGTTTTGTAACAACCCTCACCTTACTCTTGCCATATTTGCGTACATTCTTGCATGGTCTAGCTTGTTATGTTAATTTAAAGGTTTTACCTTGCCTTGATTTGCTTAAGTTGCTTGCATGATTTTGTTCCTTGCTTAGTGTGTGTGTAGCCGAGGTCATCTTGAGCTTAGTTCGTCTTTGACCCTTGTACTTAGAACTATCTTGAGATCTTGTTCAACCCCATCTTCACCTCGGGCATTCTTTGCCGAGATGTCTTGCACTTGAACCTTGTCCGCAGGCAGGTATGGCCTAGGCTGAGATGTGGCACACCCCGGCCAAGGTGTGGCACAGCTTAGTCAAGTATCGTCCTCCTTAGCCGATGTTTTTCCATCCTGTTGCTGGATCCTTGTTTTGAGCCGATGTCATCTCTTTGCCGATGTGTCTTACCCGAGCTTGCTGCATACGATTTGTCAGAGACTTGTCTTGTCTATCAATCACCTTTTTGGAGCTGAACCAACCCGATAATGCCACGTGTCCGAGCTGTTTGTTAAGGCAGCCGACAGACCTTGAAACAAATCATTTCTTGTCTCAAATCTTTGTTTTAGAGAGAGATTAGAGAGAGAAGCTCTCGTGTTTAACCGTGATATCAGCAGAGCCGACTAT